GACATTCTCTAGAAATTGTGTAATAATTCTATCGAAGTGGGTTTTTTGGGTGCTATTGAGAAGCTCTTTACAAACATACCTTTTCGAAATTAGGATAAGTACAATTTTCTTAGTGCACAAAACCTTCATGTCAGAGAATGTAGTTAGGAATCCACATCAGGTTAGATTAAACTAATCTTGTGAGAAGGAAAAAGCAAAGATTGAAGACGACTGATTGAGCTTATCATGTAAAAAAAGTAATGAAGTAGACTTTACTCCTTATACCCATATTGTCTAATATCTGATAAAAAATAGATAACTAGGATGGTGTTCGGATATTCTTGATGAGATATTCTAAAGTAGTTGTTAACGTGTGTACTAATAACGCCAATAATTCGATACATGCAAACTTTACTGTAAATTTTACATACATCAACAATTAATAACTATATTAATGTAGACAATCGTAAAACTAATATATATATATATATATATATATATATATATATATATATATATATATATATATATTCTGTTTCAAACCTAGCTGCAAGCTAAGCAGGGCACACATGCAAGAGAGAGACTTCTCCACATGCACAACTTGTTAGAAGTGAAAGGATCAATTCCAAACCCTAATTATTGCTTAGTATTAGAAGCTTAGGAATTGGATCAAACTTCCCTATTTGACATTATCCTACTATTAATCCAAAACGTCAAATGGTATCACGAGGTGTAAGTAAGTCATTCATCGATCTTCACATACACAACTATTCATTTGAAGTGATGATCAAGTGGATCAAGCTCCACACTCTTATAGTTAATGTTAGAAAGATTGGAAATGAATCAAACTTCCTAACATATAGAATGTTATATTAATGGTTCAAAATTGTTACAGTAGTGATATTTTAAAGTGTAGTAAATCCTTCCTGGTATGCGCAACTCGTTTGAAGGGAATGGGATCAAACTACAAACCCTAGTAATCGCTTAAGGTAAGAATCTTTTCCTAGTTAGCCGATCCAGCTTTGAATATTGACAGATATGATTAAGCTTTATATGAAAAGGGGTGATCATCAATCAGCAATATATTTAGCATTGATGATGGAAAGGCGAAATCTTTGTGCAGTTGGATTGGGATTGGGAGGGAGAAGACAGAAGACGCGTGGCAGAAAAAAGTTATTGAAGGTGTGGACTTTAATAGAAGAGCTGATTGTCTGAACTGTGTATAATAATAAATCGATAAATTAGCTTTTGAAGAGAAAGAGGGGACCAAACCGAGTGAGTGAGTGAGTGAGTGAAAGTGAAACCACCGTCGGTATAACAAACAACTCACTCACTTTCCCCACAACGTTGCATTTGCAGATACAGTTCAATTACACCTTTTGGGAGTTCTAGATCCTGCTTGCAATTACAATATCACCCTTTATCCCTTCTCCCTTGCCATAATTTTTGCACTTGTGTGTTTGATAGCCTTTCGTTTGTCTTTTCAATTTTCAATTTTCATTCCTTCCTAAGCAAATTCAATACAAATAAAACTCAATGACCATGGGTTATGACTCACCATTGTGAGAATTATACTAAAACGATGTGAATCAAGTTATCACAATTCTTCATGAATAAAGCTAACAATCTCATATTTCGTGTTAGCAACTTTTTGATATATGAATAGGTGTCTAGACAAATTATGTGCTGCCTCTAATAAAAAAGTAAATTTTAAAATTTTTAACGGTTGTTGAATCCCAAAAGCTTAATATGTTAAGGTCCAAGCCAATTGTATTTTAAGCTAAACATGCTCAAAAGAGAAATTTGGGAATGCACAAGAAAGTGAAAACAAAGAAATAAGGAAGGGAACTCTTATTCTTCAACCGAGCAAATGAACTAAACCACTAGAGAAAGGTTATGAGGAGAAACTATGCCGGGTTCGAAAGCCATTTTTGGCCTCATGTACTCGCTACTGTCAAGCTTTTAAGGCTTTTAAGTGATGAGATCAACTTAACACTTTTCTTCATGTGCATATTTGTAGTCTCATTTTTTGCGTACATGACATTGATACAATGTTAGACCATTGCTAAAAGAATTTAAGTTGTTAATTAATGAGCTAATAATGTATACCAAATCGACAATAATTAATATTCAATACATAATTTTGTGATTGTATAGGGAAATGAAAGTAAGAAAATATACAAAGAAGCTCTTCTTCTTCAACTCAACAAATATTCTTCAACTATCACTCCATCCTTATTATTAAAAAATATTATTCTTCATCCCTCAACAAATGAATTAAACCAAAAGTAAAGAAAGAACAAAAATTTCTTAACAGAAATTTGGCTCACTTTCCACGCAAAAGGCAATATAGTCATATTCAAAAAGTGGGTTGAGAGTAAAATTGGACAGAGAAACGATTAGGAGGCTCTCTCAAAGTGCTTTATATACTCTTTATCAACTCACAGTTTAATATTAATTTATAAGTTAATATTATAAAATATTACGTAAAAAACATGATGATGTTATAAAGAGTCATAAAAGTCTACTTTTGAGTCTCCTAATCATTTCTGTGGACGAAATTTCCTGTTAAAAATCCCAGCAAAACATTACACGCTGCAGCTATAAATAGCAACACCATTCATCCTTTCAGCATGGTAAATTCACAAGTCTTGCCCCAAACTCCACCAACAAAACAAATCTCACTCCTCCTCTCTCACAGACCCAAAAGCTTCTCCCTTTGAGCTCTCATCTTTGATATTTTCTGATCCATATATTTTTGTCGGATCATTTTCCTTGTTCTCCATCTCAAAAATTTCGTTTTTTGTTCTGAACTTTTAGGAAAGGGACTTATTTGCAGTGCCCTGTTTCCTACACATTGATAATATTTCAGAACACTCTGTTTCAATTTTGTTTATTTTCCCAGAAAGTCATGGACATAATGCATGAAAACAACCTTGCTTTTGGGTTCACAGACGCCATTGACATCCGATCTTCTCTCTCAAATCTCATACTAACAAGCTCCACAAACACCCTGGACTCGATTTTCTCTCACTGCCCTCAAACACTCGCCGCCGCCGTAACAACCACCACCAGCGGCAGTTCTGTATCTGAGCCGCTGGGCTCATCAGTTTACCTCCGCCAGAGAGACCTCCTCCAGAAGTTCTGCGACGAAGGCCGAGCAAAAGTAAACACCACGGCCTCGCGCTCTTTTGCGACGAACCCATTTCAGAGTTCGGTTTGTTCTTCGACTACTTACATGGCTCCATGCAAGAAGAAGCTCTACAGGGGAGTACGGCAGAGGCATTGGGGCAAATGGGTCGCCGAGATCAGACTCCCTCAGAACAGAATGAGAGTCTGGCTCGGCACCTACGACACCGCGGAAGCCGCCGCCTACGCTTACGACCGGGCGGCCTACAAGCTCCGCGGTGAGTACGCGAAGTTGAATTTCCCCAATCTCAAGGACCCGAACAATTTGGGTTTTGGCGACTGGTCTAGACTGAACGCTGTGAAAAACTCCGTGGATGCGAAAATCCAAGCTATTTGTCAGAAGGTGAAGAGAGAAAGAGCAAAGAAGAACGTGAAGAAGAGCAGCTCTTCAGTTGGTGGTGATGGGAGTTTCCCTGAGAACGGGAAGGTTGTGAAGATGGTATCCTCGCCGTCGTCCTCATCGTCGCCTTTGGTCGATGGCGAAGGTTTTGGTCACGAAATGGTGTCATTAACGCCCACGCCCTCCGTGTCTGAGGACGGGGTTTGGAGGATTGAGAACCCGCCGCCGTCTGTGTCAACAGAGTTTCAAATGGGGATGGCGGAGTTGGGTATGGGAGAGAAGTCGGAATTTGAGGGGTGTTCACTTGCCAAAATGCCTTCATTTGATCCAGAGTTGATTTGGGAAGTTCTTGCTATTTAGAAAGAGGATTTTGATTTGGGAAATCTGGTTTTTAGATTAATTTTCCCTTAATTTTATCAACGGATTTTTGTCACAACCCGTGTCTTATGTTTTATCGAGTCATCAGTTTGGTCCTTCATGTTTAAAGCTCATCAGTTCATCCTCTATCAATAAATTCGCTCATCAATGTGGTGTCATTATTTTTCATTAAATACTCTGTTAGTTTGCCTACATGTCACATGTATGGCCCCCTTCCAACCACTCTTAGACCATCTCCAACTCTTGGGCTAAAAGCCAAATTTTTTAGCCCGGAAAATTTAGCTTTTAGCCCAGAAACATCTTTTCTGCTCCAACCCTTCTACCCTAAAATTTTAGCCCGGAATTATTAAAGAATGAAATTAGCCTAAATTTTTTTCTTAAATCAATTTAAAAAAAAAAAAAAAATATGTAGATTATTGTAAATTAATTTTATGAACATTTTAATCTAAAAAAATTTAAATTCCGATAAACATTTCGCATTTAGCCCTGGGGGAAAGCTGGGGGGGTATTTGGCCCAGAAATAGCATTTGGCATTTAGCCTAAAATTTTAGCATGGATTGGAGAGTGTTTGGGGGGGGGGGTAATTTGGGGGGTAATTTGGCTTTTAGCCCAGGGTTGGAGATGGTCTTATGGTGGCATGTAAATCAAATTAAAAACAGTGAAAAATTATCTTAAAAAACAAAGGTAAACTTTTAATACATTTGATGGTATCTAAGCAGTACTACTTATATGTCTTGTTTTTGTGTAGCTTTAGTATTTAGAGTTTTTAAGTGTAAATTGGTAGTTTATTACAAGATGAGCTATCTGAATATGTTTTTCTTGTTTTAAACTATGGGTGGTTATCCTTATGGGTTCTTTTGGTGGCTATATTTGGAGAGGTTTTGTTATGTAATTGGGGTCCGGGTGTCATAGAGGATCGGGATGAGAGATGGCGAACGGGCCTAAGGGACCTTGAGTTGTTAATTATGTACGTTTACCTATCAATTAGACGATTAATGAATTTTAAAGATCATTTCCTACTAGTGTAACTCTCCATGCATAAACAAAAGGATCACTGCTTGGCTCCTTATTACCTAAAAACAATCATTCCCACAAATAACAATTTGACACCTAAATTATAACGACTCTTCAAAATTCTATATACATGTCAAATTTTGGACCCGTCAAAATATTTGGATTTCAAAGTTTCTTGCACAATTTATTACAGTACTTACAAGTATTGAGTACTATTATATCATTTGACGATCATCTATGTTGTAATGATATCCAATAAGCATATAACTGTTAGATGGAGATATTATTTACTTTCGTAGTCAAAATTCTTATGTAAGAGGTGATGGATGGTGAGCCACGTAGGTGAAAGAAGGAGCAAAGCCTTATCTCTAATTCCTTCGTTTTGGTTGTGGTCCTAGTCGTCCTCCTCCTTGTGCGCTTGTGCCTATTGCTTGCTATTGAAGATTAAAAGAAACCATGCGAACGTTATGTCTTCCATTCACTCATCATCCTTTCAAGAACGAGACAACACATACCACTTCCCTGCGGCGTCATAATCCATTTTACCAATTCCAGTACCAATACTGTTTACTTCAAAATTATACAAATGGAAGTTGAAATCATAAATAATTATGTCATAGAACAGATCTTGCATTGATAACGCGGATATCTATATTGATTAAAATGAAATGTTATTGACGGCTTATAAACACGAAATTTACACTGAGTAGCGCTCTTCTTTGTTAAAATCCTAATTGTCTTTTGAAATTATAATTTCAACATCAACTAGATCCATGAAAGTTGGACATTCACAACATAAATTGATAGCAGCAAACAGTTTTACCAATTAAAGGAGTTCTTCGACTGCTGCAGTTTAGCGTTATAGGAACTTTCCATCTCCTCCTGCAATAAAAAAAGCATATTCATACACACACATTAGAACTAATGCCGAAAAATTAAACTTTACGACTTAGTTGAATGCTGTATTCTACTCTAAAGAAGTAGCTCATTCAAGTAAAGAAATGGGGATAACACCAGTTTCGCTTGACAGAGGTACAGTTCAGACTAATTCTCAAGAAAGCAAAGAGAATGGCAGCATTATAAGGTGATTCTGATTTATAGGTCATTTTTTTTTCAATAAAAGGAGAACTCTAATAGAATGTTATGTACCTTGCAAGATTTTAGCAGAGGCAGCAAAAACGACGATCTGAAAAACCTGATTGATTTCCCGAGTGACGTTCTGTCATTCTGTGATTCAGGAAAAGATACATGATACCATCAATCATAAAAGAAAACATTTTCCATTTTAGTGCAGGTTCACCTGCAGTGAACATTTTCCTACTCACTAATCATACATGATGCAATCACCCAACTGCCCAATGTTTCTGAGAGGTATGAACCCCTATGCTAAATCAGATGCGATGTCAAATAAAATGAAAGATAAGCGGTGTTACTTGACGCACCATTATCACCTTCTGCTCTCAAACCGCCAATGCTGAGTTGTTCTAAAAGCTGCATTCAAAATAATCATGTAAGAATCCAAAAACTAAAAGACAATGAATTGCATAGCAATAAAAAAGCAGCTCATATGGCATTTACAAAATAAAAGGCATGTACAACATCCTTTTGGATGCTTGGAAATGTTGCACATTAACTTGACAGCCTTAGCAAGTATGCATAAAGAAGGCAGCTAGCTAATGAATCGTGCAGTAGAACAGAAATCATAATTTTATGAGTATGGAATGTTATATAGCCAAAAATTCGTTGCTCAATTAAGATTAAAATTGAACTAGAACTCATATTTCCCAACACCCTAAACCAGGCTATTTTTCAATATCTGGATCAATCATTCATGAAGATTGAAATAGCAAGGAGGGTGTTGCCGAAATGATTAGACCAACAATGTTATATGCACGTGGTGCTAGGCACCTAGGTTGCAACATGTCCATAGGATGAAAATAGCTGGATTGCAGATGTAAAGATACTTAAGTGATAATACAAACAAAAGATACAATTAGAAATATATGCATTCATAAAACGGAGAAGTGGAATCAATTGAACATATTAATAGGGGAAAATTGTTTAAAGAGGTTTTGAACACGTACAACAACCTAGAAATGCAGATGTTTGAAAGTATAACATTATTTCAAATCTACTATGTTACATGTTGAATTTGTGAAAAGTTTGACAAAAAAAACAGAACAGAATCTCCCACAAGAACATATGGCCACAAGAAAATATGCAAGCAGAGAAGGAAAGTGTACATGTAGCAGATACTTACAGTGGAAAGGTTGGTACTGCAGCAGGATCAAAGTCCTCACAATGATTTGGATCAATTGGAATACAAACACGACCTGAAACAAAATAATAAAATAGAGCATCATTAAGAATATCCAGATGCATAGTAATTATTAATTGGGGGAAGCATAAAAAGTGGTTGAATGCCTGAAAAAATTCAAGAAATACAACTAACCATATCCGATACCACCCAAAAAATGAAAGAGTGCCCCGGGGACTAACCTGTTTTTGGGTGTACACAGAAAGGTGCCTTTAACAAATGGTTCATGTGTTTCGAAACCTGCCATATACAGATACATTGCAAGAGAGAATATTTCAGCATATATTTCTGAAGTAGATCGTTTATACTCATTACATAGTATCCAGTGTAGGATCAGAGAAGGATGTATATACTAAAAACTAGTCACTAGTTATTGAATAAAAGGAGGCAGTAAAAGAAAGTGGGGATGTTGTGCAAACCTCCATGTCAAGACTAGGGTAGGTAAAAGAGAACACAATCTCTTCAACCCACCTACGCAGACCTTGCACCTTAAACAATAAATGATATCAAGAGAAATTAAGTACAGAAGAGGTTAAACTACAATTTAAAACATCAAAATCCTATAAAAAAAGACTAGAACTATTGCCACAGGACAATGTACTTTAGGACTTAGACTCACAAACATCTGCTACTTTGTACCTTAGATTTTCCAGATTGCAACATAGTATTTAGCTGCTCCCATCGAACAACATTAATGTCTTCTTTTGAACCGGGGGTTTGTCTCTTCTCTTGCCACCTTCCATGAAGCTCAGAAGTAATAGCTGGAAGGATAAATAAAGTACTATAACTCGACCATCATTCCAGGATAGGGCATAGAGATTCCAGGATAGGGCATAGAGATGCATAGGCGATGAAAAGAAACATCGAATACATTGATCAGGATCGGGAATCATATCTAAGATCTTTTCATATCTCTCCTCAGTTGAAAATATCTTTTGACTCAAAAGCAATTTCTTAAAGAACTCTGTAAGAACTCCAGTATAAGATCTCCTGCAGGAATGACTAGGTCTTAGTGGAAGCAACAAATGGTTCAGTATTAGAAAGTCAATAATGCATGCGACAACTTACGCAAGGAACAGATGGAGAGCAAGACCGGGAAAAGAAACCTTTTTCTGACTGTTTTCATTTCACTGAACAATAATATAGAATCAAAACCCTTCACAAAAATGTATACCATATAAGATCTCTCAAAACCCAAATGTACTTTAAACAGTGATCCACCTTATAGACACAAAAATAGTCAGCAATAGCTGCTCTCTGTTCATTTGTGAGCCTGCAGAAAAATGATCATAATTGGAGTTTCATGACATATCTTAAGAACCTAAGAAATGGAAGTATAGATTACAGCTGTTCAGAGAATTACCTTCTTGCTTTCCCATCACAAACCCAGCAATGAACTCCACGTCTACCACTATATACCCAGAGAATGTGACTGAAACCAAAGTCATCTGCAGAAAATAGATTTACAAAATTGCACCACACATACATCAGATGACAATTAACAAAGTTCCTACCTCTAAGGGCTGTATCAATCACTTTAATAGCAATTGTCATAAGTGGCCAGCACTCCAAGCAAACGTCAGCTCCTGAACAGCAGTACCTCACATCATTGTAGTCAGACATATCCTGTTGGAGAAAACCCAGTCAAACATGTTATACAACAGTAACAGTATAAAGTTCAGTTAGATTATGATATTGACAATTTTCAAAGTTTAAGTGGTTGATTAGCTTACTATATCGAAAATCAGTTCCCTCTCCACTGGGGTGAAAACATTATCGCCACTCTGAGCATATGCGTGCCTCTTTGCAGGCTGCAAATACAAAAGGTTAGAACTGAAATGAGAGATATGGTGGTAAAAGGTAATCACACACCCAATCATAGGTAAATTAAAATCAACAAAGAAACCATGGATTGAAATTGTCTCCGATCTATAATTATGCACTGTTTAATTACATTTCTAAAGTTTTTCCTTTTTTTTATTTGCATGATTCAATGAATAATTTTAGTCAATATTGCCATTACGAAATAGTTGGGTGGGAAGAGCGGCATTATTGTACATACACTGAAAAAGTTCAAGCCACATCACATTTGGTTTAGAAACAAGAAAACTTACATCAACACTGTACACAGGCCCAATATCTATTTTGACTGGACACTTTTCTTTGACAGAACTTTCAAGCTCAGGCACAGAGTTGAAGGACTGGAACCGCAGATAGACATCATTTTCCTGTGTGAAAGAGAACTCTCTCCGGCTAAAGTAAGACTGGTCACACGCAGGATGCTTCCCATCTGCAAATCAGCAGTCAGATTACACATTCACAGTAGGGACAATGTTCAGTGTGCAGATCAGGGACCTGGTTGATTAAGATATATGGCTTACCATTTCCATAGGACATCCATTTAAAAATATCTGCATATGGAAAGAGTTTTCCTGCCACAAATAACACTTTCTTTGAGGGGAAGATTACTGATATCTTGTTACACAGATTAAAGAAATCAGTTGCTAATATCTAGTTCTAAGTTCTAACTCATTGGTTACTTTATAACTATCAATCAAACTGATTCAACAAGCTGAAGTGGTAATCCTAATAACATTTGAATAGAATAATAAAATTAAAAAAGGGTTTACCATAGTAAACTTTGAGATAATGAGAATTAAATCCATCAGGAACAACATTGCCTTGCTTCTGTTCATATTCTACAATCATTATGCCGTCGCTGCCTTTGGAAACTTGGTCTCCGATCATGTTTGAGTAGATTTACCTGCGTTCCATGCCCAATTAACATTGTCAATTGTCCCAAATTCATAGATTAACATGTAACTACTAAACCCTAACCTGATAGCACTGGAAAATTGTACAAATTTATAGCATTTTAGTGACACACCCATAAAGCATAAATCGAAGTATCTATATAAAATCATAAATTTAAGTGTCACGTATTGGATGAGTTGAAATTTCTGCATTTCTAGGTTAATTGGATCGAAATTCTAACAACACGTAATTGCTTCAAAGCTATTAGATGGAAACCCTAATTCTCTGTTTGGTTGTCGAGAAAATGTCAAGGGACGATTTCTCAAAATTCAGAGAAACTACAATTCAAAAATAAGCCGGTGAAATAATCGATTCCCCTAATTCCCTAACCCCAACAATGAAATTATACAAAATTAACATTTCAACAAGAACGAAAAAAGGGCTCAAATTTAAAAACCCAGGATCATAAAGAAACAAAATTCACATTATAGTTGACAGTAAGCATCACAAAGATGTTCGTCGAGACTGAATTTTCCTCGAGCTTTCTCGGCAACCAAACAAAAAGTCGAATTAAAAACAAAATTGAAATTAAATGAAAGCTGCTCATACCTTGGAGAGAGCCAAGTGAGGGATGACGGGAAGGGGAGGGAAGAGAGAGAAAGTGGCCCTAGGGGAAGGGGAAACTTAGGCGGGGAAAAAGGTTATAGGGGATACTTGGCGGGAAAGAAGACAAACGAGCACGTAGTCCTGTGCACCTAAATTTATAGCCCCAGAAGTCCAAAATTTATATAAGCCCAAAAGTCCGCTCCAAGTTTCCTTTGTAACCCCCGGAACTTCTTCGTAGTGAAGTCGATCCACTGTCCAAATTTTACAAGATTCAGCGACATTTTTTTTTAGCCTATGGATCTTGTAAACCGAGAAAATTCGGGGTTTTTATTTTTAGATTGGAATTTAGGGTATAATTCAATGACGGACCATGACATTCGCAATGCACCTCTTAAAAAAACATAGAATGACTAATGTATTTGGTCCTATCTGACCCACGTTGGTCCTATCTGGCATGAGAACAGTCTTAGTGAGGCAGCTGTTATTTAGTCCTATCTAACTCTCTTCATGAATAGATGCTTTAGGATACTAGGAATTGGCCGTTGATTGCTCCGTTGCCATCTTATGGAAGAGGGAGGGAGCTCCCTGGAGGAAGGTATATAAGCTTTATCCATGGAGATGGAGTTCGTGGGAGTTGACTCAGCTTCTAGTTCTCGTTTTATAGATACCTTATATCTACTGCATTATTCCTTTTTCAGGTAAGAATGGAACGATTGATGGCCAACTAGCTAAGTCTTAATTCAAGCTCAACTCTTCTGCATCCTGTTTTCCTTAACTTCCCGTATAGTGCCGCTTGGTACTGACCTAATGCACCTTCTGCAAGGATTGTAAAGTTGTTGAGCTCTAACTTTAGGCTGATGCATTCTTTCTCCTCTGCAGCAACGTTGTTGTCCGGTATGTCACAATATTGGCTCCATCGGACTCTCCCAACACCGATGGAGTAGATCCTGGTACATGCGAATTTTCTAAGCAAGCCACATCTTGTTCTCTGGGAAAAAGATAACTGCTGCTAGATTAAAGAGAGGTCGCATAATGTTGAAAATTTAGTATATTAACTTGCATGAATTGGCATGCGTCATTACTTCTCTATTCGAATTATCTATAAATTCTGTAGATAATGCCATGACAGGATTAGTTGTGGAAATCACAAACGGTCTATCTTCCTCTATTTAAAGTGGGAAGCCTTTGTGTTCATGATATATATGTTTGTATTCATTTGTGCAGATTCAAGCTCTAATGTCTGCATAGAGGACTCCTACATATCCACTGGAGAGGATCTCGTGGCTGTAAAGAGTGGATGGGATGAGTATGGGATCGCTTACGGTCGCCCAAGTTTTGACATTACCATCCGCCGGATTAGAGGATCATCCCAGTTTGCTGGAATTGCAGTCGGAAGTGAAACCTCTGGTGGAGTGGAGAATGTCCTGGCAGAACACATAAACCGTTACAACATGGGAGTTGGCATCAATATAAAAACAAACATCGGTCGTGGAGGGTTTATAAGAAGCATCACCGTGTCAGACATGTACATGGAAAAAGTACGAAAGGGAGTAAAGATAGCAGGAGATGTTGGAGACCATCCGGATGAAAAATGCAACCAAAACGCTTTCCCAATCGTGACGGGCATCACGTTGAAGGACATCTGGAGCGTGCAGGTTCAGCAGGCCGGTTTACTCCTGGGCCTGAATTTTACCGGAATCTGCCTCTGCAAGATCAACCTCCACGGTGTGACGGGATCAAGAAATGCCTTATGGTTAGCGGGGCTGCACATCTTGTAACCCCCTTGCAATGCTCGGAATTGAGCGGTGCCCAGAAAACAGCTTCATGTTCTAACTACTCCTAAAGGGTTAAATGTAAACTCGTCCTCTGTTCTCCCAAAGCTACTACTCAGCTCCGTAATTTTTTTTCTTTTTCGCACTATACAGAGAAAGGACAATTCTATTGCTTATATTTGGGAGGATTTGGATCCTCTCGTGGACCGTTGAATGTCCACAAAAATTCAACGACTACAAACAAGAAGCTTCTAAAAGCTATAATAATTATAGCCGTTGGATAAAAATCCAACGGTTCACGAATACTGGTCAGGAGAATCCTGACCAGTTGGCTCGAAGAGGATCCAAATCCGAAAGAAAACAAATCATTCGCTCGCTAAAATGATCACTTTTCAGTATTTAGTCGTTGTGTCATCAGGATTTGATTTTGAACTACCTCCTTTATCACCGAGCAGTCATTTAGGGGCCTTAGCTGGTGATCCGGGCTGTTTCCCTCTCGACGATGAAGCTTATCCCCCATTGTCTCACCTGTTATTTTATTTGCAAGACGATCGTTTCAAGCAAAATTCCGATATACTTAGAGAACCAATAATCTCAAACAAAATTCAAATTCATCAAGTACAAATACATAAACACAATCTACTCATACTCAATACAAATACAAACACAAACACAAACAAATACATACATACATACATACATACGATTATGAGTTTACGAACATAAACACGATTCAACATCTCTCATGGATGCAAAGTTCTTTACATAAACTAGAAGTAAGCATAAAAAGATAGATTAGATTGATATGTGGGATCAATCAATGGTTTCAAAGCTCAAAAGTGGCTCAAGAACTTGCGGAACTTCCTCATCAAACCGCCCTCATGCTCATGCTTGTGCTCTCTAAACGGCTTCTCCATTCCTTCGAATCCTTCGCGGCGGTCTTGGTCGTGGTCATGGTGGTGGCGGTGGTGGTGATGCGGCCTCTCCAATTCCATTTCTTCCTCATGCCTGAACGGGAACCTAGGCCCACCGTGGCGGAAATTGACCCACCTAGCGGGGATCTGTCGCTCTCCACCGCGAAACGCCGGATCGAATCCCATGTTGTCCCCGGACGCCATGATCATATCGTTGCCGTACGAAACAGACTCGCCCTCGCGATGTTCGCGCTCGCCTCCGTGAAAGCGCGGGGTCCAGGGGCGGCGGCCGTGGCCGCATGGGCGGCCGTGACGGAAAGACAACGGGAAGGGGCGCCTGGGGAAATGGCGGTTGACGGGGCGGAAGCTGAAGACGGTCAACGGGACGGTCTCGATGGTCGACTCTTCCTTTGGTAAGATGGTGGCGCCGGTTGCGGACTCGGTGTCGGGTTTCTCGCTAGGCAAGAGGATGGTGGTGGTGGTGGGGGTTTTGCGCTTGGGATTGGATTCGGGTAACTTGACGTCGGCTGGATCGCGGGCTTTGATTTCGTTGGCGGGTAGATCGGAGGAGGTGTGAGCGCGGGAGAAGGCGAAGAGGAAGAAGAGAGCGGCGAGGCTGAGGAGGAGCTTGGCCATTTTGGAAAATGTTGTGTGAATGGAAGAAAACAAGCGGTTGGTAGTGTATATATATTTGGAAGTTGCAGTATTTGGGGCAGATGGGGCAGGTGGGAAGTTGACTATTTGAGTGAGGGAAAGCCGGAAAGGAGTGAAAGGCGGGCAACGGGCAGATGGGTGACCGGCCACGTGATTGGAGGAGGAGGTTGCCGGTAAGTTTGGGTTGAGATCAAAATATAAAATATTGATATTATCCCGATATTTTCATCGAAAATTTTGAGTTTTTGGACTACCGATATTTCCGATATCATCGATATTTTAGACCTTGATAGGAATTCTATGTAGTACTAAGTCACTCATATATCTTACCATGCAATGTATAAAGTGTAAAATATTATACTAATTCATTATATATAAATGATTATAGTGTGTTTAAACTTCTTTTATTAATTACTACATATTTTCCACTCACAATGTTTGTCAGCTCGCTATATAATCAACTTAAATCAGTTAAATCCATCATACAATGCATTTCCTTCCAATTTTTTATGATAAACTAATAAATAGTTGACTAAATAAACATCCTACAAAGTTTTAATAAAAATTTCCAAGTTTTTCTTACAATTTCCGTGGTTTTTATTCAATTTTTATCGATATTGATAATATCCCAATATTTCCATCGAAATTTCCGTGTTTTTAGACTACCGATATTTCCAATATGATCGATATTTTATACCTAGTTGATAATAGGTGAGCCTTAGGTTGGCGTGGGGGGATAGTGATTCGACTAGGTTGACTTGGAAAATGCGAATCAAATTCCACCCGCCCCTAATACAACAATTTACAAGAGGCTTCTAGGTATTAATCTAAACTACTTTATTAATAAAATCCAACTTCATATCGTTTCTATAAAAAAAAATAAAAAATAAAAAATAAAAAAATCTAAAGTAGTTAATCAAAATTCTATAAAATTACCATTCTAACTCCCTCACCAAAACTGAACAAAAATAAAAACATGGGCAATTTAGTAATATTACATGAATATAAATTTGTTATTTTTACACCAATCTACAGTCAAATGAGCATATCATGCCATATTTAAAAATTAAAATAAAATAAGATAAAAAAAATAAAGAACATACCCACATTAAAAGAAACTGGCCATCACTGTCCCAACTTTCATAATTGATTTGTTTTAGAATTTTAAAAACTAATCACACTACGTAATAAAAATCAAAATGGAATAAAATTGTTCACACACAATATGTGTGGGCATTTGCTATGTTAATGAAAAATACTTCAAGCACCAAACTATAGAAGAAACGCCTAAATCCAATTTGAGTTGCTTGCATGTTTTTGGTTTTTGTTTTCAATTTTTAGTTTTTAATTTTTGCTTTTTCAGCTTGTATTTTTTGAAAACTACAATCTTCTTTGGTTATTATTTAAAAAAATGAAAACAAAAAGGTGAAAACTCAAGAAAGAGTAATGGTTACCAAATTAGATTTTAGTTTTCAGATTTGAAAAAAAAAAGTGAAAAATAGAAAACGAAATGTTATCAAACAATCCCTAAATTATAGAAGGCTATCCATTTTTATTTAAATTTGCTACGTGTAACTCAAAAGATACCACTTGATTCTATGAAACTCAAAATTGTCTCGCTTTGACTTGTGAACTCTCTCTTCTTCCTGAAACTTATAGGCCACCTCTTAAAACATGTGGGACTCAACACCCAATAAGACTATGTCACATGTGCAATAATTTTGGCTATAAATCTTCATTATGCAATACTCAGAGAATATTTAGTTTAAAAGAAGTTGAAGAGATGAAGAAAAAAGAAATTGATTAGCCTAGCGCATCCAAATCAAACTCACATAAGAAATTAACAGATCTAAGTCAATGTAGAGCGAAATTTGAGTTTTATAAAGACGACTTTTTAGTTTGAGGGGGCAAAATGAAATCAAAATTGAGTTCCAAATAGCAAAGTGGAGCGAACTTTGAGTATCAAGGAATAAAGTGGCAACTTTTGAGTAACAGAAAGCAAAATATAATTAAAATCAAATTCCAATAAGTGTAGCTAAAAATAAGCATTATAAGAATATAAATCTTTAGCCATTTAGTACTACAGTCTAATGGTATTCCTCTTCACTAGTAAGTGAGAGGTTTTAGGTTCAATTCTCGCCAAAGGCAAATTTGAACCACATTATTGCTAGCCCATTGTGTGGTTGAACCCACCTCCCCATAGTATAGATAATATCGATTGTTCAAAAAAAAAAAAATATAAATCTCTAATTGTCAATATTAGAACTAGGAAAAATTAGTATCCGGTCTCTAGTTACTAATGTTCATTGACTGAAACCTCATAAGTTTTCAGATTTTGATCAAAGTCCCTAACATTAATGCAATACTGAATTTACATATCAGTTACTTAATTTTTAAAATAAAAATTAATAATTGATTTAGGATTTTAATCTCACACCTTTATTGAACTCCTAACTAATCTTCAATTCAAAACATTTCCAAAAAAAAAAAAAAATATTAGAATAAGTTTGTACCCCTTAATTTTTTATAAAAAGGTTTCCAAGTTTTTTAATCTTATATGTACCCATTTATGTAATTTTTCATTTTTTTAATCTTAAAATGTGCCAATTCTTAAATATACCAATTTGTTGTATGTAAAATGTACCTTTTAAACTTATATGAGTACATTCTTTTTCTTAATTTGAGAATGTATACATGCCAAGTTTAATAAAAAAAAATTACTAATGTTATTAAGCCTAATATCTATTATTTTTTGTGTGGTTTTGGAGAATGTACCCATATTTTGGTACAATAATTTTTTTGTTAATTTAGATGAATGTACCCATGTTTATACACATACATATATATATATATATCTATACACACACAATATATTGGAGAGTATAATTTATATTTTTATTGTTACATCCCAGATCGACAAACAGAGAGGGGGTGATGTGCTTTATATGTACATACCCACCTCTTATAGCACGAGGCCTTTTAGGAACTCACTAGTTTCGGATTCCATCGGAACTCCGAAATTAAGCGAGTTTGGGTGAGAGCAACCCTAGGATGGGTGACCCACTGGGAAGTTTTCGTGTGAGTTCTCAAAAACAAAACCCTGAGGGCGTGGCTGGGGCCTAAAGCGGACAATATCGTGCTGAAGTGGAGTCGAGACTGGGATGTGACAGAATGGGATTAGAGCCACTTTGCCGTTCGGTGCGAGTATGTTGATGAGGACGTCAGGCCCCTAAGGGGGGGTGGATTGTTACATCCCACATCGACCAATAGAGAGGGGGTGATGTGCCTTATATGTACATGCCTACCTCCTATAGCACAAGGTTTTTAGGGAACTCACTAGCTTCGGATTCCATCGGAACTCCGAAGCTAAGTGAGTTCGGGCGAGAGCAATCCTAGGATGGGTGACCTACTGGGAAGTTTCAGAAACAAAATCGTGAGAGTGTGGCCGATGCCCAAAACGAACAATATCGTGCTATGACGGAGTCAAGACTGAGATGTGACATTAATAATTTTAATCCACAAATTATGGGTTTTTTTTATTTAAAATCTCATTAATACAAACAACTATAAATTTCAATTTTTAATTTAAAAAATATAGTAACCTACATAGAAATACATTATCACATTAATTTCAGGAATTTCGATCAAACTTTTAAAACCAACAAGATTTCAGTAAAAGAATATTGATAATTAGAGACTGCATTCAAAGTGTTCCTTATAACTAAAACAAATTCTATGCATATGAAAACAACATATGAAAACAAAGAAACATCCTACATATATCTGTCGGTTGTATAACAACATGGGAGAAGGGGGTATATTAGTAAATCTGGGTGGCAGGTGTTGGAAGTGCATCAGAAATGACGTCACACAGGACGTGTATAAGAAGGGAGAAAATGAGTTAAGGTTGACCAGGATTGTGGGACGGTGACTTTAAAGCGGGAGACAGACATGAGACAGCCACATGCAAACCGCTATTTTAAGTTGCGATTGCTACGTGGCATCAGTTTATGTATTTTCTACTCCTTAGCCGAATCTGGATCCTCGCCGAATCTTCTTTGTGAGGATTCTGGGGATCTATGAACCATATTCGTTCATCGTACATCGTGTGGTCATAAATTATTTTAAATATTTTTATTTAAAATTAAATACAAACAGTACCTGACAAAAATTGATCGCACGATGTATGATGAACATACATGATTTACGAATCCTCAAAATTCTCACCAAAAAATTTGGAGAGGATCATGTTCGTTCTTAGTCATCCCAAATACCTGTTATTATTTTATGGAAAATCTTTATTAATTGTGAGTCTATTGCCACATAATACTATAATTTAAGAGTTTTTTTTCCTTCCCCTTCTAAGTTAAATGTCTTCAATTTGTATATCTTGAATAATGAGTCTGAAACTAATTATATTCTCTTCGCATCTTTGTACATAGAAAGAAATTCAATTTTCTATAACTTTTGAGATTTTTTTCTTAGTACAACAGTATATTTTATACTAAAAGGAGGGAGAGTTCAACTAAGCCACACAATGTGCAACTTAATTTGGTATCGAATTTGCCATTCATGAGATTTGAACCTAATATCTCTCACTTACAAATGAAAAAGAATACCACCAAACCAGACTAGATCGTAGTACTGAGTGACTATCACTTGTGAGATTTTAGGCTAAAGAAACTATGCAGGACATGGCCATTTGAAGCTCAATGATTTTCAAGGTTTTGGGCAACGTTGTCCCAAACCCAACTCCATAAATTTTGGGTGATCTTGTTCCCTTTGCTGAAGACATTTTGGGCTTAAACAACATATCATATTTTAATGAATACTAGCACATGCCTACACTCTTTGTGTGTATGAACATTTTTTATTTTTATTTTTAAATGGGAATGAGAGAGGGAGAGAAAAAATGTGGGTGGGAGTGGGAGATTTTTGTTTATATTTTTTTTAATAATAAATATCTTAACATCACCTGTAAGTAAGACTTTAATAAAAAATAATAGGCTGATTAGTCT